TTTATTTTTGAATTATTTAATTTTTCAGTATTTTATTTATTAATTGTACATGATTTTAGCTTATTTTTATTTAATTTAGCTTTACTGTATTTAAACTAATTTGTCATAATATAATTTTTGTTATTTCATTTTCTTTATTTTATTTTTTTATTTTATTTTTTTTATTTTATTTTATTACATTCCACTTTTGATTTTGTATTATTTAATTTTTCAGTATTTTATTTATTAATTGTACTTGATTTGAGCTTATTTTTATTTAATTTAACTTTTTTGTATTTAAATTAATTTATCATAATATAATTTTTGTTATTTTATTTTATTTTTATTTATTTTATTTTATTACATTTCACTTTGCTTTTAAATTTATTTTTTTTTTTAATTTTTTAGATTATATTTTGTTGTACTTTATTTTTCATTTTAGTTTATTTTGTATTACGTTATTTTATTTTATTTTTTTAATCAATTAACCGTTATAATTTTTTCGAAAACTAAGACTTTATTGTGAAAGAATTGTTATAAATTTAATATTCAAAGTATTGCCCATCTTACTGGCAGTTTGTGGATCACATTCCAAAAGAACTTCTCCGGCTGGGAGGTCAAGAAAGAATCGAGCCAATTTCTGATACCCTGTTCTGAAGTGAAGTGAACTCCTGGGAAGGCATTCTGCATCGATCTGAACAAGTGGTAATCGGAAGGTGCTATGTCTGGGCTATAAGGCGGGTGAGGTAGAACTTCCCACCCACAGTTTTCCAAATAGTTTTTAACGGGCCTTGCAACATGTGGCCGAGCTTTGTCATGATGAAAAATTATTGATTCGTGTCTGGTCGCATATTCTAGTCGTTTTTCCGCGATGGCCTTTTTCAAACGAATCTATTGTTTTTGGTAGAGGTCCCCATTGATCGTCTAATCCGATTTAAATAGCTCATAATAGAGCACACCCTTGTGGCACCATGGATATTCGGCTTTGCCGTGGATGTCGCTGGTTGGCCGGGCTTCCCATACGATCTCTTGCGCTTTTGGATTATCATAATGAAACCATTTTACAACTCCAGTGACAAACCGATGCAAAAATGACTTCTTTTGGTGGCGTTGAAGCAACATTTCCGACATGCAGAATCGACGTTCGACGTCTTTTGGCTTTAATTCATTAGGCACCTAATTTCTAAGCTTCTGTATGAATCCTTATGATTTTAATCGTGTGGAAACGGTTGCTTGATCAACTTCTAATACTTTTGAAAGTTCTTCTTGCATCTGGCATGCATCTGCGTAGAGCAATATCTCCAATTTTTCGTCTTAAAATTTTTTTTGGCTATCCGCGTCGTATCCGTTGTTTAAGTCGAAATTTGCCACTTTTGAAAGCGTGCAAACCACTTTTGGCAAGTTCATTCGGCTGCAGCATGGTCACCATAAACGTCCAGTAAAATACGATGGCTTTCGGTAGTACTTTTCTTCATGTTAAAGTAATGAAGAAGAACTCTCCGCAAAAACACTTAATCTGGTACAAATTTCGACATTTTCAAATGAATGAAACAAATTGTTGTTCACGCTAAAACAAATAACAGTACCTTTGAAATGAATATAGCCACATACTAGTAGAGCCCTCTCTTAGAAGACCGCACGAATTAATGGGTACACCCAATATTATTTTATTTAGTTTTTTTTTTTAATTTTCGTTTTTATTTAATTTAATTTTTTTCCTTTTTTTGATTAATTTATTTTATTTGATGTTATTTAATTTTCGTTTTTTATAATATAATTTTTTTCAAAAATGTTTTTATTTAATTTAATTTAATCTTTTTTCCTCTTTTTGATTAATTTATTTTATTTTATTTTATTATTTTTAGTTTTTTTAATTTGCTTTTTTATTTTATTCAATTTTTTTTTCCTTTTTTTGATTAATTTACTTTATTTTATTTATTACTTTTACTTTTTTTAACTAACTTTTTTATTTTATTTTATTTTTTTTTTCCTTTTTTTGATTAATTTATTTTTTTGAGGTTATTTAATTTTCCTTTTTTATAATAAAATTTTTTTCAAAAATGTTTTTATTTATTTTAATTTAATTTTTTTTTCCTTTTTTTGATTATATTATTTTATTTTATTTTATTTTATTATTTTTAGTTTTTTATTTACTTTCTTATTTTATTTAATTTTTTTCCTTTTTTTGAGTAATTTATTTAATTTGATGTTATTTAATTTTCCTTTTTTATAATACAATTTTTTTCAAATATGTTTTTATTTAATTTAATTTAATCTTTTTTTCTGTTATTGATTAATTTATTTTATTTTATTATTTTAAGTTTTTTTATTTACTTTCTTATTTTATTTTTTTCCTTTTTTTGATTAAACTATTTTATTTTATTTTATTATTTTTAGTTTTTTTTACTTTCTTATTTTATTTTATTTTTTTCCTTTTTTTGATTAATTTTTTTTATTTTTGATGTTATTTAATTTTTTCTTTTTTTATAATTTAATTTTGTTTAGAAAACGTTTTTATTTATTTTAATTTAATCTTTTTTCCTTTTTTTGATTAGTTTATTTTATTGTATTTNTTCCTTTTTTTATTATATAATTTTTTTCAAAAATATTTTTATTTAATTTAGTTTAATCTTTTTTTCCTTTTTTTGATTAATTTATTTTATTATTTTTAGCTTTTTTAATTTACTTTTTTATTTTATTTTATTTTATTTTTTTTTTTTGATTAATTTATTTTATTTCATGTCATTTAATTTTTGCATTTCATTTTTAAATTTTCCTTTTTTTATAATATAATATTTTTTTTTTTAAATTAATATTATTTTGTGTTGTTTTTTTTTCCAATATTATTTTTTGAGATTTCAATGAAAATTTTTTACGCTTTTTTTGTGAATAATTTTATTATTACATTTTGTATCTGATATGCTAAAAATCAAGATTAACTTGTCAAAATGACATGCGAAGGAATATTCTTAATTTGCTAAGAAAAAAACGTGTTCCTTAAGCTTTTTTTTTTGTTTCTACTAATAGGCGTAACCAGCATTAGGCGTTCGTCATTACCATTACGCACTATTATGTTCATTGATTTAATTAGTAATTAACATATTGAAACTATTTTAACATTAGTCCCAAAATTTTGGATTTACTGCGACGAACGCAAATTAATGTTAATTGAATTCATAAATGTTTATAATAAATTGTTGCTGTTGAAATTATGAAATGTTTGAAGTAGATAATCTTCTCTGGTTAACGTAAATGTATGATTTTTAAGTGTGGAATTTAATGGTTTTTGTAAATATCAGGTTCTCTTGTTAAAATTTAGAAATATGAATGTTCTCCAACCTCATATTTATGTTACCAAATCTATGTATGTAAAAACCTCGAATATTAGGAACGCCTTGTGAAACCATATCGTTTTCCAATTAACGCTTCAAAGGGAAAGAAAAACCTCTCTCTCACTCTGCTGCTCCCAGCTGGTACTGCAGCAAATATATTCTTTCGAAGCTGGAGTTATTTTATCCATTCGGCCCAGGCAACGAAGCTCCTCAATTCGCCATACTCTGTCAATGTAATTTCATACGTCGTACATCGTTCCATCATCTGGAGCAATCTCAGCAAAGTTTTTCTGTGGAAAGCTTCAGCGTCTGCTCATTAGATGTCTTATGCCATGCTTCAGCAGCACAAATCAGTACTGGGTTAATGAGCCATTTGTAGAGTTTGGATATTTTTGTCGAGATAGAACTTTACATTTCGTCTTGGCGAGATCCTTTCCAATTCTAACTGTAGACAAGTTCTCAACTTCTTCATACGCAATTCGGCTCCTGTCTTTTTCTGTCTGCAAATGCTTCTGGCTTACTTTTTTCAGCTCTTGGTATCTATTCCATGTCAACTCTTGCGGTCGATCACAACGTTGCTAGGTAGACAGTCTATTTTCTCTTCACCGTTCCAAAGTTCCCTTACATCTAGTTGCTAATGAGTGCTTTAAAAAACCGGAAATGTAAGTCGAGTGTATAGCCGGCTGGGGGTCTGAGCGGAAAGCCTTTTTTCGATTCGGCTCAAGAGGAACCGAATATGCAAAGGTTTGTTCAGAACTTCTAGCATCTTGTACACTGGAGATGTGTCTTTTGTCCATCACCACTTAATAGATTTGGTTGCACGATTTTCGATACGGTGACAGTCAGCTTGGGCTCGTTTCGAGATGTTTCCTGAAGCTGGCTGAACTTCCTTCCATCTGTTTGAAGGTCGACCCAGTCGTTAAAATCGCCATACGCGATTTAGATATCGGCACGGAGGCAGCGCTTACTATGTCCTTGGGCGTTCATAGAAAGTATTTTCATCCTCCCTTATGTCGGGACCTGCTGTAAATGGGCGATAAGTGGAAGAACTTCACTTTAATATGTAGATTGGGTCGAGGCGCTCATTTACCGGTGTGAACGCCGGCACTTTTCAGCTGAGTCTCTCTCCCCACAACAAATCCAACACCGAATTCGCACTCTTTTCTGTGGCCATTGTAATGCTTTTTACTACAACCCTTGTGCTCCAAAGACATTAACCTGCCATACAGCGGCAGCTTGCAAATCAAAGGATCGGACATTTCAGATACAACCCCTCAAAGCTGTTTTCACTGAGCTCGTTAATTAAGTGGCGGGTCTCGAATCCATCGTACAACCTCACCAGGCGAGTGCTAGCCGCTGACTTTAAGACCGGCAACCGCTTTGCTGAACACACGCTGCAATTAGAATTTTGTGAACCAATTAACCGAATGCGCCAGAGTGCTTCCACTGCAGCTTCCCATCTATTAGTCCTAACCCAAAACTTCCCACGAGTTGATAACCTCTTCTCGTACTAGGGTCTCAACGTGGATGCCGACAATAGCAATTGAGTATAGCGAATTGTAACTGCAGTAAAATTAAATAATTTCTTGAAGTAAATTCATATTTAACGTTATGTAGTTATTTATAGTTATATATATGTATATCTATATATCTTTTTTTATCTTAATCCCAAATATGATTATTCCATAGCCATACATGTCCGGTGGTGCCGCCTACGTTTTGAGCAAAGAAGCCCTGCGACGTTTTATGACCACAGCCTTCCACAACTCCACACTCTGCCCGCGCGCACAAAAATTTGGCATTGAGGATTTTTACATGGGTGTTTGTTTGCAAAATGTTGGCGTACATCTCGCTGATGCACGATTCGCATTGAGCGCTGCTGATAATAAACCGAAATTTATGCCACTTGACCTGCACACCTACATGAGCACAGACAACGCCACACAGCTCTCGGAGTGGCTGCTCACAATGACGCCGTACGCAGTTGAGAGTGTAAGTTATTGGCTGAAGTATATATGTGTGTATGTGTGTATGTATGCATAAATTAATCACGATTTTTTTTTTTTTTTTTTTTTTTTTTTTTGCTTAAAATATTTTATAATTGCATTTTTAGGGCTTAAACTGTTGTTCCAACTACTCGATTGCCTTCCACTATACCAGTCCCTGGCGCATGTATATGTATGAGTTCTTCATTTATCATTTTCGTGCTTTTGGCGTTCAGCATCACGCGAAGTCTCTACCAGCCAAATTGTCGCTGGCGGAGGTGACACGCTTGTTTCCCAGTAATTACAGCGATTATGGCAAGCCGTTGGTGGATTTGGATGCACGAAATCGGCCGGATAATTTTTAAGTACCATAATTTTGAAATGTGATATTAATGAAGTTTTTATGAATTCTATTTTTTTAAGTGATTTAAGTAAAAAATATCTATTTATATTTATTGTAACTGGAATTAATGCTCTTTAGTGTAATTGATTTTGTTGTTAGTAGGTTAAATATATGTGAGAAAAAAGCTGAAAAATGGCATAGTTAAGAAGAAAGGAAAGAAAAAATATGTATGTATATGTATATGAAATTATAAAATAACTTCTTTATTTATATAATTTAATATTCTATTTTAAAAAAAAGACAATTAAAAAGGAAAAATGTTTGCCTACATTTTGGAGTTATTTATTTTTATTTTTTTTTTGGGAAAACGTTGAAAATGTCTAGCACATGCTGGTTGCGTCGTTCCGGCAAAAGTATGTGCTTTTGAGCAGCCATCGCCCACCCTACAAACGCTTTCACATTACCTCAAGCTCACGTTCCATATTTCTCCCCTAGAGATTTTCACCACGGAACCTGCATTCACCTCACATTTTTTCTTGCTTAGTACATACTCTACGTAGTGTTTCCTTTACTCTGAAGCATTACTGGTACGATGTGGTCCGCATCCAGAGATCCCATCCGGTTCTTCACGTCCACTCCTTCCGTTTGCCATTATGCGCATTTCCAAAAATGTAGCGTTCAAGACTATCTTCGGTGGCGATATTGTGTATGGAGGGATCGCTCTTCTGTTTTGACAATTTTTTGTAAGTATTTCCGTGTCCAGATAGCATCTGGGTGACATAACACGCCGAATTTTCTTATGCGATCAGAGTTTCATGGATCTACATTCATCTTAATTCATCTGCCGCAAATTTCAAATAAAGTTAAGAGTACTTTAGAACGATTGGAGAGTAATTGATACTTTTGGTATTTCTACAGTTACTCCATCAGGTGCAGGCGATTTTTTGGACTGCAGTTCTTCAGTTTCAAAAGGCGTTCTCTCTGACATCTATTCCTCCGACTATTATTACGGGAGACGGGAATATCGATGGCGATTTAGAGTTATCTTTTCGCAGCGCGATATATTTTTCTCTCTTATATTTTTCTCCTGGTTCTAGTATATTCACAATGGCGCAATGTGTTCACTCCACAAACAGATCTGTCAATCAGAATCTTTACGAGCATGCAATCAGCGTAACTCCGTTTGATTGGGATTCAAGGCAGTAGGATGGACTATATCTCTAATTGTCTGTCGCGACTGCAAGGAAATAGACGAGGAAGAGTTAGTAGAGCACTACATATGCCATTGCCCCACACTAAGTGCGTACCGACATCGTTTCATAGGCCTCCCGGTGTAAGTAAACTCAATCAAGGAATGCCGTGACTGAGCAACACAATTAAATAAATGACTAAGTTTTTATTATAAACATCTTTACACCTGTTTCTTTTTTTTTTTTAAATAAATTACAGAAGAAAATGAAAACTTCAGGAAATTCAATGAAAAACTCTACAAACGAAGCTTTCGTTGAGTTTCAAACTGCATTTAAACAAAGATTAAACAGCTACAGCCAATTTGGAACTCAAAATCGAAATGTCACGATTTAAAAAGATACATCTTGTATTTATTAACACAGTGATACTCAAACTAACATTTGAACCGAAAGATTAGCGCCTATAAGTAGGCAATAATTAATAATAGTTTTTAACTAGCAGGCTTTTGAACCTGTACAGTTTGTTTCTTAACTCTAATGTTCAAGTCATCAATATTATTGATATACCGCACAATAAACTGAAGAGATATTACCACCCAAAATGATCTTGCTAAAATAAATATAAATGAAAGTAAAAAGAAATTAAATTAAAATTAATGTTATATAAAAATATTAACATTGAAATTAAAACTAAAACCAAAACTTTAACCAAAACTTTAACAAAAATTAAAATTAAAATTAAAATTAAAATTAAAATTAAAATTAAAATTAAAATTAAAATTAAAATTAAAATTAAAATTAAAATTAAAATTAAAATAAATTCAAATAAATATTTCAATTAATTTTAAATTAAAATTTAAATGGGTACTTACGAAAAGGTATTGTTATTTTTCTCTGTAGTCATATTTTGTTTAAATGTGATTTAGTAAATACCATTAGTAACATATTTATAGAAAAAAAAAATCGTCTTTTATTAAGTAATTCATAGCCAAACATCTGCACTACACAACATCTGTCGATGGCAGCACGTTCTTAAGCATGTGCATAGACTGCGTGATTGTACAAAGCCATGCATACATATATGTATACATATACAAGTGTTAAAGCAAATTAACAAACACTTATGCTTGACAACTGATGCCTGATTTGGTGCATTCGGCTGGTATCAGATTTAGAATGTCGCCACCATAAACAATGCACTAAACGAGTTCATTAAAATAAATGAACCACAACGTGCCAGCAAATTAGTGCATCTATAAGATCTTTATTCATACTTACATACACACATACCTACATACGTATGTCATATACATATGTGCAGACAGTTACGTCTACTCAAAGCTGTTGCAATTATAAACAGCTGTGTGCACTTCGCAACGTCGTGATTGCTCTTATATGTCGCTAAAGTGCATCCTCTTTTGATTATCTTCACAAAAAAAAAAAAAAAAAAAAAAAAAAAAAAAAAATGTGATTGCATTTTGAATGCCATTTTGAAAAATATTTATATGATTTTAGACATGTTTCCCTTCACTTTGGACATTTTCAAAATAAATAAAAAATAAATAAAAAAAATAAAATAAATAAATCAGAGGAATAAAAAATAAATAGAGGAAATAAAAATAAAAAATAAATAAAATAAGCGAAACCAAAGAAAAAAAATAATAAAAAATTTCAAGTAAATATTTTATATATATATAGATATATGATATACCAGATCTAAAGAGAAGCGCGTAGGTTCAATTCAAAAAAGGCATTCATTTTTCCGACATTTCACAGTTTTTTACGCCTGAGTTTTAAGATAATTTGAATTGACATTTAAATAATTTATAATAATATTTTTTTTTAAATTGCAAATATTGTAGAAAAATATTATAAATAATGCGGATTGTTGGTGAAGCAGAAAGTGTTAAAATCCTTTACAAAATCACTTCAAAGGTGGCATCTGGCCACCGCCAACTGTGGCACGCCTTGATAAATCAACAACTCCCTACACTTTGCAGCGAAGAAGAAGAACTTGAAGATATATGTGATATATGGTTTAACTGTTGAGCCTGTCCTCGGATAAATATTTAAAACGGCAAAGGCCTGTTAAGCGCTCTGAATTTGGAATTCCTGGAGAAAAGCTTTTAAGCCAAAAATAAATGGGGCGCTAAACGTTCTAGAACCTCGTAGTCAGTCTCCTTACTGTGAGCGATATAACAGAGTTCGGACTAAACGTAAAATGCCATGGGCAAATGGAAGCTTTCTGCCAGGTAGATCTGGTGGGCAATGCTATCAGTATTTGAGACGAAAAATATATGTATTTTTTATGCAGATACAAAGTACAGCCGAGTGTTTCTCCGTCTGATTACCCCAAGGAGGTGAAAGCAATCCTCTTTCTCTGCTTCCATCGGCGAGTACTTACAAAGCTGCAGTTTTCACTTACAACCGGACATAAAATATATCTCGCACAGCAGTATTCACCTTTGCCAATGCGCAAAGCACCATAATTCCTCAGCAAAGTTTTTCCTTCAAAAACTCTTAGCGTTGACTGATCAAATATTATCATTATCCATGACACCACACCATACAATAGAGACTTGTTGTGCTTGGATTTTATTTCTCAATTTCCTACTCAGTCCAAAGAAGCACCTGTTGGTGAGAGTGAATCTGCGTTTATGTTCAATGCTATTATTGTTGTTGTTGACTTTAATGTTGGTTCTAAAATAGAAGAGGCGCTAATATGAAGACTGTTTTTTTTTTGATGACAGGAGGTATATCGATATTTCGCCTTGTTCTCGTCCAATACAAAACCCATTCGCAATATTGTTGTTATCGATATCATTGACTTACGCCAACCAATTAAGACAGTTAATTATACCAACACAAAGTCTGAATGAGGGAGAATTTGTAAGAAAGTCAATACTTTTACGGCCCCAGGTTATACGTTTAACAAAGATTGGCACCCTGCTAAGGATGTCTCCAGCGACTGCTATAGACTTTTCTTCACCTTCAAATGCTGTCTAAATCAGTGGTCACTCGAGGAGGCACTTCCAATGTGGCACTAGGCAGTTTTGTTAACCATATGAAATCCCTTGTTTCCTCGTAGATGTATTGACGGAGGATCCGTCATCCGTCATCTTCAAAATTAGCTGTAGTTAATTGGATGAATGCAGAGCTTGTGCAGAAGAAAACGTTTTCGCTTGGGTGTAGTAGCGTAGCACTTAAAATGTGTCAGAAAAACACCATCAAGACTCAAGATTCACTACACATTGAACGAAAATTGCGTAAGGATTACGGATGGGCATCAACCTGAAAATAAGCTAAAACTTAAATGAGGCTTTACTCTATAAGGTAGGAACCACAACCCTCAATATAAAAAGTTAAATTCCTTGGGATAACGGAAAGAGCATAAGAAGCTTTACGCTTGTGAAGAAGTTGTTGACTCAATATGGAGCTTAAGACCACATATTGTCTACAGGACTCACACCGTTTAGCGAACAGCTGCCGATAAAAAAACTTTAGGAGCAATTTTGTTAGAATTCAGCGGTCCGTAGTCGCACTTACAACAAACGCTCTTCCATCCATACCCACAAAGGTACTAAAAGCTCTTATAAACTTGCTCTGACTAGGAATCTACAACAAATTTCAAGCGAGCTGCAATTAGTATTCACTCTAACTACTCAGCATTGGTGGTATGGCAGCGGTGGACTACAAAGTTTCTATTCAAAACCATACAAGAGTGTGAAGATATTCGTGGTGAATATTCTGAGGGCAATGAAAGCATTTTTGGTAAAAAAATAAAATAAAATATTTTAAATCTTAAATACTTCTTCTATTTTTAATAACACCGCTCTTACTTCTTAACTTGATTTATCAACCCTGATTTCAAAATGCGCTCAC